CTCCTTCGGATTCGCATCCAACATGGAGCCGATGAGATGCTTTGCCTCGTAGGCAAAGTCGCCAAGAGCATCCAGTGGCGCCAAGTTGTAATTGCCCTTGCGGATGTTCACCTCCCTCATGTAGCGATCGCCACAGTCGAAAGGATGGGAACCATTCGTCAGAACATAGAAAAACACCAAGCCCAAGCTGAATATGTCAATGGAGCGAGTAGCACGACGGTTGGACATCATGTCGGAACCAACCAGGATAGAGCCCGATCCACTCTGGATACTGGACTCCATAGTGGCAGTGTCCCTGGCGTCGTCGTCGAGTAGCAATTCAGGGGCTCGCCAGCCAGACGTTCCCGCAGCGCGGCCAGTAGTGGCACCGAAGGAGGACTGACCACCCTCCAGCTTTTTGCAGAGACCAAAATCGGATACAAGAAGGCGCGGTCGTCCATCCTTGCCCATGTTGACCAAAATGTTCTGAGGCTTGAGATCGCGGTGGACAATGCGAAGATTGTGTAGATGGTGGATGCCGTTAGTGATTTGGTACAAGACACCTGGCAAATCCATCTTGCCTGCTTGAGCCAGTCGGGTGAAGTGATGAGGCTTCTCAATGACATCAGCCAGAGAGGCTGCACAGCGCTCGAGAGCAATGTACAGGAACCCATCGCGTTGCTGTTGAGCGTAGTATCGAATGACTAGAATTGATTGTCAGATACTTCCTTGAAAGCAGCCATGTTTCTGTCTTACCATTGGGATGGTCGTCGCTCTCTCGCAGCAACTTTGTCTCCTGGGAGGCAATGTCGTAGAACTGGATAAGCATCCGCTTGACAGCTACTTCGCGGCCATCGAATCGACCGGCAAAGACCAGGGTACCATTGCTGCCTGTGCCGAGTTGGTTCTCGGTGTCAACTTCGATGCCGCCCATCTTGATGATCGATTCTCCCACAGTTTGCATGTCGTTTGTCATGGTCATGACATCGGGCTCCAGACCAGTAGCCTGTACACCCAACTTCTTTGCCTTATTGACAGCTTCCTCAACGGAAGCACGTGGCTCGTCATCGCGAGATTGAGACATTTCTTCTCTCTTCTTCCCCTTGCGGTGCTTCGTGCCTCCGCGACGGCCACGGTGAGCGGGCTTCTTCTTCTTGACCTCAGGGGTGCCAGGTTCAGGGGGGGTGGCAGAAGTCTGGGTCTCGGCACCGGGAGCCGATGGATCCGCGATAGGCATCTTGTCATCATCCTTCTCTTTCTCAGGGGCAGGCTCAACAGAGGGAACCCCATCCTCGGATACTGGCTTCTTGTCGACAACAGGCTCTTCTGGTACTAAAGGTGCGGCCGCCCGCTGAGGAGCGGATGGTGGGATCTCGTCATGTACCGTTTGCTCAGGAGTGGCATCGGCACCCATATCCTCTGTATCGGAAGCAGCCTCGTCTCGCATATACCATTTTGTCGTCTTAGTTTTGTACCACCGACGTAGATCCTTCTGATAGTAAAACAGAACAGAAACAATGAGCACAATCAAGACAGGGTTGGAGAAAAAGTCGATTACACTGTTGGAAACGTGATGAGGAATCGACTTGACTTTGTTGACGATGGTGGGCGTCTCGACAGGATCGTCGTGCGGCACAGTAGTGGGCAGCACTGGGTGACTTTCAGGGTCCACCACTGCATCAGACGCTTCTGCGCGTCCGGGTAGACTGGGAGGCTGATAGATCTTGCCCCTGATGACACCATCCATGTAGTGGGTTCCAACCATTGCGCCGACCCGCTGCGTCTCGTTTAACTTGCCCCATGGCTGAGCAAGCTGCAGCCAGTCTGGCGACGAGGTCTTGGCTACGGGAGCATCCAAGATGAGAGGATAGGAGCGCCCAGACAAGGCGTACCAGTTGCCCATGTCTGTCTGGTTGACGAATATACGCTGACTTCGGATACGAGCGTTACTGTCATCCTTGGCTGGTGGGACAGGCTGAGGAAGGACGATGAGGTCGGGGTTGCTCAACGGTTCCAATCCCACGGGCCTGCAGACGTCGAAAACCTTGACTACAGGCGAAGCAAACTGCGCGTTGCAAAAAATGGGCAGTTTGTCCTTGTGGGCATTGGCGTAGTCAACACCATAAATCTTGCCATCGTGGGTGGTGGTATGGTAGCGCTGGTCGATGGACTGGTGGTGTTGGTTAAGCAGGTCGTAGTCGTTTGTGTTGGGAGTCCAGTCAAAGAACTTGAGTGTAGCGATCGGGCGACCGTCTCTGCGGGCAATGCCAACCTCGTACTCGGTACGACCAAGCGTGATCGTACCAGTCGAGCTACACTCTTCGTTATTCTGGTCGTACAGTGCATTCGGGCGTAGGCAGCTCTCTGCTTCGTTGACGTGTGAGCCGCCAGAGCCAAACCACTTGAGCACACGGCCTGTAGCGGCATCGAGTGTAATCATGGTAGTCTTCTTGGTACCAGTATAGACGATTGGCGGATTGTCGAGGGCTGAGGCGCCCTCGTCGACCATCTGTTTCATGGTCAAGCCCGTGGATAGTAGTCTGGGCTCGGTGGAGCCAGCTGGAGACCAGTAGTAAATGTCTCCATCGCGATTGGGCTCGATGGCCCAGATGTAGTGATCGATGTGGTTGTAGTCGTCGTCCAGGTCGGAGGCGTTGAGACGGTAATGTTTGGTCTCAACCATGGACTGGTCAACCTCGAGATGCCAGCGTTCGGTGGCGTGGTTGCGATCAGTGGCATAGAGGTGTCCATCGACGGTCGCCATAAGAACGAAGTCTTCTACTTCCCAATCCTTCAGACTCCGCGCATGGTGCTGCGTAGAGATCCCACCACCGCCAACGCGGGAGGCAATGGGTCGATGTCCAGAAGGAGGTGCTCGGACGGACTGAGCCGGAGCCAAAGTTGCGATGGCGCTCGCATCGTGAGGAATAAGTATGTTGTCGGGGTTGGACCGACGGTCGTGTGGTTGTTTATTATTGGGTTGAGGTTGGGGTTGCTTCGAGGTTACGGAGTTTCGGCGCCTCGAAGACTCGACAGCATTGTCGGCCTTGATGTTGGTCGCGGCCCAGTTGCGGGCGGCAGCGTCGGGGAGGGCATCACGAACAGCTTCGTGTTGACTGCTTCCAGCAGGGGTTTGGTGTTGATGGATTCTATGTATCTGAGCTACCGGCTCGATGGGTTTTTGCTGTTGTTGAGCATCGACGAGTGGGAGGCATGAGATGGCGAGTACAGCGAGAGCAAGGAGGTAGGTTCGCTGACGAGCAACGCGCCTCCCGTCGCCTGGAGGCCGTCGCAGCATGATCTGTGTGTGTTTTATGCGGAAGGGATTTACATCAACGCTTCCCAGTGTTGTTTACAGAGCAGGCGAGACATAGGAGCAGCTGAGGGCGTCGGCGAGGTCGTGTTCGAGGTGGTGGTGTCGATGGTCCGACGGCGGCAGAGGACCATGTGAATGTGGGTTGGGCTAGCGAAGTAAATCGGAGCCCACAACGAGGAAGAGTAGGTACACACACAACAAGTGGGATGGATGCAGCTGTGGATGCGTCTGGGGTATCAACCAAAGGTTTGTTGATGGATGTGAGAATTCGTTGGACGGAAGTGAAGATGAAGATGAAGATGGAGTTGAAGATGGGGGGAAGAAGTGGTGGTTCGTTCGGGAAGAGGGAGTAGGAGCAGATGGTTTGAATGCTCTTGCTCACTTTCTCTTCTTTTTTTGACCCTGTCAGCTTTGGGTTTTTTGGGGGGGTGAAGCAAAGGTACACGCACACGCACCGGGGGTAAGCCAAGTATGGAAGTCACTTTGAGTCTCGAAGGTCGGTTCCTCGAGGAAGGAGGGAGGAAGTTGGGGTCTCTGTCAGCCAGCCCAGTGCCCGCAATCCGTACCTTGCCCCATGCCAATGAGTGGGAAGTCAGAAAGACCCGGTCGAACTGGCGACAGGCGGGTTCTGGATGGAAGGCAAGGGAAGCTCTTGGGGGTATTGCAAGTACACAGTGCTGTACAGAAACAGTTTGTGGGCGTCCGTCGTACGACCAGGGCAGCGCCCGGCTGACTGGGATCACCTTTGACCGAAAGGGGAGGCCTTGGGGCCTTTGCAGGCTTGTGCAAGGCCAGGAGATGAGAGAGAGGAAACACCACGGGCTACGCGCACAGCACTGGGCAGACAAACCACTGGAGAGGCCATGTATACTGTGCTAGACACGATGAGAGGCTTTTGCACTGTCCAGCCCCGCCATTCCCGTCAGGCGAGCCCCACCCACCACCTCACCTCGGCCACTCAGGGCTCGCAACTTCTCCCCCAGTTTCAAAAGGGAGGGGAAAGAGCGCACCACTGCACCACTGCCTTCACCTGCCACCACCACCACCACCACCACTTCTATTCCTCGACGGAGTACGGAGTACGTACATCCACCTAACTTCTCCTCCTCCCGCTACGAATACTTCGTGGTAGACTCTCGCGACACCAGAACCACCCCTTGGAAGCCTCAAACCGTGGCAAACTGAAATCGCGGGGATTTCCCAAGTTTTCTAACCCAAACAGCATGATCTGCCACTCCATAACAACCGGTGGAAAAGCGGAACACCAGCTTGGTGATCAGGTTCGTCCAACAAACCTCCATACCTTACCTTAGTCTCTGTGCTACCGCCCCATCTACTAACCAGACACGCAGTGTAGCTTCGAGCCTTCGACTACCTACCTAGATTCAGCCATCACCAATACCACCAATGCTACCATAACCTCCCGATATTCAACACAGAGAATTCAGGGTCCTTGTTAGGGCTCCGCGTCCCGAACCCTTGTGCCAGCCCCCCTAGCCGCTCGCCCAGTCCGAATCGACATGGCTTTCCGGTCTTGACCCGAGTTGCCTAGTGGCCGGTGTCGCAATCCTGCAGTTGCCAGGCTTTCTGTTACAAGGTTTCGCCCGCTCGCTGCAAAGGGATGAGGTCAGCTCAGCACAGTGCACTGCTGGACTCCGTACGGATACTCAGTACCGGCATTCCACACTTCCTCACCAAGCAAAAAATGCCCGTCGCCATCGAGTCCTCCACCATTACGCCGTACCTTACCACCGGGGAACTTCTGTGACGGGTTGCGAGCCTGCGAATGTGGCTGGACCTGCGTTCTTGAAGACGACGATCCACAAGACCCGACTGGACTGCGACCTCGACTCTCCACCGCTCCCGGGAGCTAGCTGCTGGCCGGCCTGCTGCTGTCCACTGTGCTGCATACGAATACATAGTACACACGCACCACGCAGCACAGACACTCAAAGGCTCGGTCTACAGTGTACACGGCGCCAGGTGGTCCCGTCACTGTCTTCAGTGTCTTGGAGAGATCGTGGCTGTCTGAGGTCAGTGGTGGGTTTCCCCCATTCGTTTCCATGGTTGGCTGCCGAATCGGAACCTATCCAACGCCGCCCTCAAGCCCGTCGAGCCCGTCGAGCAACGGATCACTCGCCGAGTCTGTCGATGCGGAGGACCATCTTGGATTCTTGATTGACGGAATCGCTGATCCAGCGGATCAGGTGTGTCAGACACAGTGTCCTCAAGGGATGCTTCTCTTTAGCACCGCCGCTATCTGATCGTCGTCATTCGACGCCGGCTGTTCCTGCAGCTTTGTCGTCACTGGTTGGCAAAATAGGAGCGGATGGAGGTGCGGGAAGCAAGCGACGACGACGGACACCCAGAATTCGGTGCGGCATGCCACGGGAGAATAGCCGAACCGGCCCTATCACACTGTGTCGGCATCGCCCCAGAGCTGCAGCATTCGTTCGTACCTTTTTCGCAAGACACACAAGAAGATATATCCTGTCGGCACATGGAAGACCACCCCACTACGTAACTCGCCACCCCCTGATACTTGTCCACAGCCCACCTCCCAAATCACGACAAGAACGCACGCAAACAAACATGTTGCTATCCCCCAAGGTGTTTTGCACGGCATACAGTATGGATACAGAGACTGACTGGATGGATTGTCGAGTCTTGATGGCTTGAACATCTGCAACCATCTTTTCTGCTGGTATTTGGGCTCAAATCGCGACAAGAACTGTCATGCTCTCTCACTTTCAGCCGACGAAATCTTCCCAAATTTGATCAACCCCTCAGCCTTCGCCTTCGTACGGAATCTTTCCTCCATCTGGAACTTGACAAGTGACAAGACGCGACATCCCAGACATCCCGCCATCCCTTTCGTCTTGGCCCTTCCTCCCACTGCGACCGTCTCCCTTCGCAACGTGCCGACCTGCAACGCAAGCTCATCCCATATCCCTTGCTTCGGTGCTTTCTTCGCAAGCTTTACACTTTTCCCAGTCCGAACGGCCCAAAACTCTACGCGGGTGCCCTGCGCCGTTCCTCGGTCCGCCGCAATGATACCTAATAAAAAAAGATTGTACCAAACGCACCAAAAAGACCAAACAGGCTCACGGAACATTCCAGCAAACCTTGCCTCTGCTCCTTCACCTTTCGAGGCTCTGACGCCCGCGCGTGTAATAATGCACGGACAAGATGCAGCCCACGACTCGGCATACTTTTCGTCCTGCAGGACTAGCACGTATCAAAAGACCCCCACGACGACAGCCTTAAGTCTGCAGACCTCGTACCTATCTTGCGTCTGTGGCTTTTGCGCATCCAAGGCGAGCAGAGCAAACAGTAGTGGCACCCGAATGCCTATAGATCGATGCGTACGCATCTCGCAATATCCACTTACGGATTCCTGAGTACAAAGTGCGACACTGTGAGCATTGAGGAGTCATTCGAAGGTTCGATTGCCGGCACCCGCTGATGGGCCCGAGTGCGAACAAACGGTCGACGATCCCACTCAGCGGGGCTCAATATTGTGTGATTTGGATCTCAGGTTCAGGCCAACGGCTGGCTCCGGCGACCCCCGGTCCAATGTCCCAGCGGGTCGGGATTGATACGATGTTATTTCGAGTCTTTGCGAGTTTCCAGCCCGGACTCCGAACTTGTTTCCAACTATTCAATTCCATGTGAAATTGTCGAGTGAATTATTGAGCTTCGCCCCTCTCGGACCCCAAGGCCGGGCCCGCCTTTGATATTCAAAATTGAGGAACTAAGAACGGGACTTCATCTCATTCTAAGGTATCCGTACTTCCGTAGAAGAAGACATCTTACAACAAATGTCAAGCTTGCGTCTACTGTGCTACTGCGCCTTGCCGTTAGCGCCCGGGGACTATACGTATGCCCAACCCGACCGCCGCCCGGAGCATCCTGTAGAGCCGGCCCCCCAGTCGGAATTTGCAAAAACTGCGGCTCACAAACAGGGACGAGCTTCCAAAGCTTCCATTCCCAGCAGGCGAGGATCGGGTCGTTCTGCACGTCACTGTCTCTCCCCTGTCGGACGTGTTATCTGTGTCCAAGTGCCGCCCCTAACCCCCAAAATCGGATGGGCACCCCCTGGGTCGCTAAAGGTCTCGGTTCCAACGGGTACGAGGGCCCAGGGCTGTGTGTCAGACTTGTCGTTGGTTGAACGTTGGGACTTTGGAATGCAACACAGCGAGTTACCAAGTGAGACCATGGTCAGTCATGTTTGGTGCAACACCTGAGAATATACCGGCTTACATGTCTCTGGCAAAGACTTGTCTCTGCTCGTTTCCTTCCCCAACGGAACGGTTTACATGGAACGTAACTGACGGAGAAGTTCAGGCAGGCACTAATCGGTGGTCTTGTATGTAGCTCTATTCTTACTACTCTTCTCCAAAGACCTTGTTTGAACGATTCATCAACCTCGTTTATGGTTAGTATAGAGTCCCTGATAAGCTAATGTCTATTATGTGTGTACTGCAAAGAATGAGCCACAGACCTTTCGGTCCGCATTGCTTCGTAAAACGAAACTATCTTGTGTCGCCTTGGGAGGCTTTAGAGCAAACAAACGCCCTGCTTAGCTCTTCTGCTTCAATTTGAGGCCATCTGCGAATAGTTACATAGTCTTTCAATAATCCCTATCACATTGGAGTCATTAATCATTTAATCGGGCACTTGTTAAAGCTGAATGAATCGTGATTTCGTTTCTATGGAAAAGATTGAAAATGGCAGATCTAAATGCCCTCTAATTCCCGATCCCAAACCCTGATACTAGTAATTAACCATTAAGAGGAACCGGCGCCCATACATGGAGCAGTGTAAACTCCTAGCGTAGTCGGTCCCGTTGAATATGCACAGAAGAACTGGATAGTCTTTGTGGTGGATATGTACGAAAACTCTCAACTCCTTATTGCGACTAGCAAGTCTTGCCCTGGTTGACAGCTGGAAATCTCATTGTTAGCCATGGCTTTCTTTATTGTGTTTTGAGAGCTGAATCGACTTACCATTGGCATAGACCGCATAGGTGTCAGCGTGGTTGAGGTTCTGAGCGCTCGTGAGAGTCTTCAAGGCAGTGTAGCCGTAGATGCCATAGTCCAGTGTTCCCTTGACCTCGAGCAAGTGGGTCATCTCGTGCTGAAAAAGTCAAACTGGTCAGCTCAAGCTCGATGATCTTCAGTAAAGTGCTGTACTTACCAGAGTGGTGGTCGACTGGTCCTGGTTGTGGCAACCAGTGGTGAGCAGAGGAAGCGCGGTGAAGTACAAGGGGCAGTTGACCATGTACTTGTAAGCCGGGACGGTGTAAGCCAAGACACCAGGCGAGCAAGACTTGTAGACGTCGCTGCAGTACTGCTTGGAGACGCCCGTGTTGCGGCTACCGCATTCGGAAGCGACCTTGTTGAAGGTGTCGACGACAATCTTCTTGCTGGCGGCGGTCGTCGACTTGAAGTACTCGTTCAAGCGCTTGTCGTCCTTGGAGACGTAGTCGGCGGCGGCGCGGGCGAGCTTGGAGCAGCTGGCGAGGGCGTTGGTGACGGTGGTGTTCTGGGTACCCTTGCAGTCGGACTGGACAATGGTGCGCTTGATCATCTGCTTGTACGAGGTGCGGACGATGGCGGCCTTTGTGACGTTGACGTTGTTGATGTTGAGCGTGTTGCTGGCGATGCTGAAGACGCCGGCAATGGTGGTCGAGCCGGCCTGGGCGTAGGGGATGCCGCCGTTGACTCTCACTTTGAAGGCGTCGGCCTCACCCAGGTCGTGCAGCTCGGCAAAGTCGACTGCCGATTCGATTGTCTCGCCGGCCTTGATTGTTCGGAAGGAGGCGTCGGTGAGGAGGTTTTGAGGTGCCATGCGCAGGCGGACGCCATCGAAGGGGAGGCGGTCGTCTTGTAGGTTGAGTCAGCACTTTGATATTGAATTGTGGGAGAGTACTACTACTTACCTCCATTGAAGACGGCGACTTTCTCAACGGCAGCCGTGTCCAAAACGGTACCCGGAGTGAAGAGCTTGAGATCGGTCTTGCCAATGTTCTTCAAGGCGATCTTGACTGCTGTGTTGCCGTTCTTGGTGATGTTGGCTTGGAGCGGAGTCGCAGTGTCCCTCTGTGCGAGCTCGATGGGAGAGGCGCTCACGAGGGAGGCCAGGAGAGTGAGACCGGTGAAGAACTTCATATTGACTTTTGCAAAGCGGAGAGTGTCTCGGTTGTTGAAGCTGAGGAGTTGAGAAGTTGAGAGAGGGCTGTTTGGAGTTGAGAGTGATGATCCAAAACAGAAAGCCATTCAGTCGATGGAATTCTCATCGTCTTTATACAGGAAATCAAGGCTTCAACGGATCTCACCGTTCAGCCCACGATGCCACTCCGAGGTGACATGAAACCTGGACTTCTCTTCCCGATCCGGTCTAGGGAGCAGAGCGGCCGTGGTTCAAGCCACGGAGAATCGCTGTCTGGAAGGAATTGGAGGCTCCAAAGGATGGTCCGATGGCTAAGAAGAGTCCATGGGGCGGGAGGCGCTTCTGCCCATTGTCGGAGCTAAAGAATTGACAGACACACCTTGGTTGTGATCAACAGGAGACCCCTAAGAAGGAGGGTGGGTGTATCATGATCCCAAAGCATAGCAGGCTGGAGCGCGGCTGCGGACCTACATCCTCCACGACGAGTTGGGCAGTGCCTAGAATCGGCAAAGGCGTCGGACTCAAGCGGTCTAGCAGAGGAAACCTATGGGTTCCAACTCGATGGGTAAGCCTGGCTGGTGTAAGCCACGAAGAGCAGATGCGGAAACTTCATTGAGGTGATGGACGAGACATCTGGCGCCACTAGACATGTGTCCCATGTTGTCTTCCAATTTCTTTGGAAGTTGATGAAAGCACCACGCGTGTGATTGTGCTAGGAGACCAGGAGGCGAGGACACCTAACGACCGAGCAAAGACGCGCTCTTGCCGATCAGCAAGTGATCAGCAAGTCGCCACGAGGACCACGAGTCTTCAACTGCCGTGCCCCTTGGGTGAAAGGTTTTCCGACAGACCCAATCCTACGGTCAGAGCGGGCTACATGGGGCTCTCTCTAGGCCAGCAGGTCCACTATCCGCAAACGGCCTCCGGGATCGTGGGGATAAAGACCGGTGCAAGGAGCCCGGGGAGCCGTAGCCTCTTCTGTAGATGCTAACCGCACCGCGCCTTGCTGTATGTCTCCTAGAGACAAGGAGCGAGAGTGAGACATGGCTGGCACCAAAGGTTGGCCCTAGGCCGCTGCGAGACACGGTTTGGCTGACGAGTAAGACAGGAATTCTCCGTGCCCCAGGGGGGGGGGGACCAATCTAGCAGCAAGTAAAGTACTCTTATCGATTGAAGTGTGACCCGAAATGCCGGCATATCAACTGAGACAAGCTGTGATGGGTTGGAGTCTAGAAACGGTCTTCACGTTTTCCTCGTTCGAGATGACGTCGGCAGCAGAACGGAAACATCACCGAAGGGCCTCGACCCTGAGACCGGTGGTCGCGCAAGCAACTGCCGTTCGGAGTGGGTCTGCCGAAATTATGGGTCACCGGCGCCGTGTCCCCGTATCACTGCTTACCTGCAGCATTTTGGCGACCTTCCTCTTTCGTCCGTAGACCAGCGCGAAGTTTTTCCTGCACCAAGCTTGGAGCCGAAGGATTGCGTTTCCATCATGCCAATGTAGCGTCGTCTGAAGTTGTGCCGCCAGCTCAACCGATTTAGAGTCTAGGTAGGTGGTCTCTAAGAGGGGTGTAAGAGCAGGGGATAGTAAGGCGCATCTCTTCCTTCGATACCCTGCAGAGTGCGGGGTCTCCCGCCGTCCGGCCGAATCTGTCATCTAGTTAAGGTAGTCCATCGCAAGTAGGCGAGTTTAGCTGGCGATAGGGTAGCCTCCGTCGCGGATAGAAGCGCAAACCCGATCTGCCGGGTTCTCTAGATGGGAGCTTGGTCCACCATGAATCGCATCGCCGCCTACATCGGAACTCTCCCGTAGAACACTTCAACTACGCCGCTGACACCATCGCAAGAAGGCTATGGCAATTCGTAGCTCCAAGTCATGGATCGTGGCAAGCGTGGTATTTCGTCCGTCCCAAAGGAACGGAACCAAACTTGCGTGGCTGAAGCCGCTGGGCATTCCTCGGCAGACGGCTTCTTCTCCTATTTCAAGCTTAGTGCGCGCGTTCTCGCGACAAAACTCATTCCAATTCACCCACGTTGCCTCTTAGTTTTACCACACATTCAAACAACAAAAGCCATCCTCCCAGCGGCAGCGGTAGGCGGCCGCATTTGATCAATTGACGTCAGCCGGAATCTTCCATGCCACTTGCCCGCCTTAGGAAGCTGTTCCGCTTCAGGCGCATCCTGCTGACCACGTCCACTTCGCCTGCCTTGGGAAGGGTAGCTTTATTTCTCTCAATCCCACATAACACACCTTTGAGAGAGAAGAAAAAGTCCTTGCAACAAACCCCCGATACTCGCTCACGCCTTCACCTACCGCCATCTTACCAGCCAGCCGCCAAGATCGATGAGTAACCTCCAAGCCCGCTCGCTCTTTCGGCCCATCGTCCTCATCGTAGCCCTTATCTTCGTCCTCTCAACCTGGAATCGCAGCGGTTCCTCCCGAGACACCATGGCGGAAGAGGACCAGCACGCCGGCGCGCTATCCAAGCTCGCCCTCCGCATCCGTCAGACGTCGGAAAAACCTCCCACCCTATCCTTCTCCGTGGAAAACAAGCACGACGCCCCGCTGACCATCCTCCGCTGGAACACGCCCCTCGACTCCCTCGCCATCCAGGTAGGCCTCGTCTCCATCACGCCCGAGGGCAAGAGCGAACCGATCGAGGTACACACTGTTCAGCTCCGCCGGATCATGCCGCCGCGCCCAGAAGACCTCGTCACCCTCCAGCCCGGTGAGAGCCAGGAGCAGGAGATTGTCCTCAAGGAGCCCATTGTGGCGCTCGATTCGCTCGGCAAGACGGCACGGGTGGCTGTCAAGGGCAAGTGGCAGGTTGTTTGGCCCACGACGGCGGACAAGCTTAGCCAGGCAACGCTCGAGAAGTTGCAGTTTGGCGAAGGGGTCTTGACGGGTGAATTCGAAAGTGAGACGATCGATGTCACGATTGGTTAGGACGTCTCGGCAAGTTAGTCAAGTCACACGATATCGATATTTTCTCGTTTCCTCGTTACACCACCTGTCAAACTATTGCAAACTGTGGATTCACTTCCTCCTTCCTCCCTATCTGATTCAGTATGATATTCCTATCGTGACCTAGTCCTAAGCATACGTCCGTTTGTCAAATCCAGGCACCCTGTCACGCGAGAGCTTCTTTGCAAACGTCAAAATAACGTGTCTCGAAAACGTGGCCTGGGCATGGTCTACGGGGGAACCTGGCCGACCAGCTGAGTGTGACGACGAGGCAAATCACATTGTTCTGGAAGGGCCTGTGTAAGTAAGCATAGGAAACGTCCAAGTCAGGATGTCTCAGAGGAATATGCCGTGTTCGGACTAGCTAGCTCTAACTCTTCTAGGATCGGGAGGTACCTTACCCCATTTCTCTTCTTTGAGGCTGGGCTAAAGTCCTCGCGCCCGTGTGCCCTTCATCTTGTCCTTCCTCTCCTTGCCGACTCTCGGGAGCAGGATTTCGGCTTCAATCTAAGTCACATCAGCCGATGCCCGGGGTGGACGGGAAGATAGTCTCAGATCACCGCCAACAACTAGGTATCCCGCTCCGATTCCCGTGGATCGTGGACGACAACACTCCAGTAGTCGACTTTAGCACCTGTAGAGGCAATATCAACAAGGCGCCAAACAACTACCGAACCTTTAGAGCCCGGAGAGACGTTGCCTCTTCGGACAAAGCGGCCAATCTAACAAATCGACGGCCTCGAGACTGGAAGCCCGCCGGCCCCAATGTCTCGGTGCTGTCGTTCATGCCCCCGCCCACACTGCCCGTCCGCCGTTCTCTTCTGTTGGTAGACTGCTAATACCAAAGGGCCCTGGCTCTTCTCGCCACATCGCTGTCAGCAATGGGACGGTCGAGACTCGGTCCCGCCTCGTGTGGACCACGTTAGTCCCTCGTGAGAAAACGCTTTCTCCGAATGGCATCCTCTTTCTCTGCTGCCATGAGGGTCGTAAGCATGGCTTTTACAACTTCCGCATGCAGTTCAAATGTGTCCTTCATCCCCCTTCAATACTGATCAAAAGACCATCACGGTTCCACAGACTAGAGAGGTCGAACGTAGGTCCGGACCCTGGAGAATTCGGAACCCACTCCGACGTGCCGTGGATTTGACGGGCGTTGGCCCCCTCCCTAGAGTAGGGCCGTTACTTTAGAAAAAACGATATGTTGTCCCAAGACGTACTCTCTTTCCGCATCCATCAAACACCTTCACGCGTCTTCCACGTTCACGGCGCTCCGAGGCTAGACCTACGCAAAAGGACCACGAGCATCGTTGAAGACGGAGAATTTCTTCCAGCACAAGTCCACGCGGTCCACGGCTTCAACTGCCGTGACTGAGACACCACGCAGACCAGAGTCGAGAACATTGACGACGAAGTCTCTTGCTTAAATTTGATATGTGCTTGAAGTTGGGGTTCACTAGCTTATGGCGTAGCGGGTTTAGACAGAGAGTCCAAGGTCTTGCTGCAGGTTGTTTTCGTCAAGTGTGACGGTTAGCAACTCAATGTAACTGGCACTACAGTATATTTCAAATTTATCAGGTATACGCCCAACTAGCCCCTAGTCTCTTTCGAACTTGTCTCTTTGCAGTATCCTTTTCTAGTCGAGCACTCAATTACTATTACGGTCGTATCTAGTAAAACCTGTTACGATAGCGCGGAACCCACCAGTATCAATGCCCTGCAAGACCTAGGTTCAGATCACACACCATCACGACCAGACCAGACCAGACCAGTGGTCTTCAAACCTCTAAATCTTCGAATTACCTGTTAAAGTTTCGCGCCGAATGCTCATAAACGTAAAGCTTTTCTCTGCTGAAGCAATATCTCCACCTACAATGATTATACCCCCTCTCTTAACTTCCCAATCTTGCTTGATGTTGTCAAAACGAAGAGTCACAACAGCCTTACAAGTATACACGTATCCTCAGCTATCAGAAATAAGTCAATCTCAGTCTCGGCTGCGAAATACTAACTTGAAACCACGACAAGTACCACCGAGGGGATCAACTCAGATATCGTATCCAGACTTCAAGGCTGACCTGTTTCTCAGTATTATACGTAAAGTAGGATGACAGTACTCTTCCGATATTCAGGAACATTCTTCCATATATTGGTGTTCTTTATTTAGTCTATCACAGCAGAGGACTTGTTCATCAAGGTAGCTGAAGTTGTCTCGCATTGTGGCAGTTCAGTACCGTCACGAATGCACTGCGTGAGGCAAGACAACTGGAGAACTACTGACGCATATCCACATTGAATCCAGTGATATAATCAATAGACCGGCGTTGAAATTTGCAAACATCGCCCTTGGGATAGGTTATTAGGTATTCAGAGTGGAATCAGAGGTCGGCGTGGTAAGACCAGAGCTCAAAGGCCTCGGGGAGAGAATGAGTGGTAGGAAGATTACTAAGGCAGAGAGAGAAGCCACACTCCGTAATTATATGCATCGTGTGCTCCCTACGTGGAAAAGGTAGTCGGGATTGGGGAGGTTCTCCTGTACCTTGAAACCGCGTGACACGACAAAGTCGATTGAAGCCCAAGGTGCCTCATATCTTGACTTCACATTGACCGATCCATGAAGTAGCGAGAGACAAGTCATTACGAAAATGTTTCATGCCGGCCCTCGCGAGCAAAGCACCGTCTTCTTGAATACAATGTCGAGATGGAAACCTTCCCACTCTGAGAACGAGTTTATGTCATTCCTTCAGGTGGATCAACATAGACTGCGTTTCTAAGTTTTGCTGCAGGGTTTCATACAATCAGGGTGTCTAAATCTCAAGGAGCAACTTTAGGCTAATAAGGTAGGCAGATACAAGCATCGAGGTGACGGGTAGTGCATACATTCACCCAAAGAGCCTCGACAACTAAACTGATCACACCAATACATCATATTCGATACGTGAAACAGATTTTACCCAAAGCCGGTACCAATACAACGGCAAACATACGGCGCACGTCAAAAAGTCGAGCAAGACGTCAAGATAACAACACCCCCATACCACCGGCCTCGGATCCTTAAACGGCACTCCGGCCCCCTCTTTTCTCTCCACCTTCGGATCCGCGCGACCCGGAGCGGTCGGAACGGCAGTACGGCAGAGGTACAATGTCATCTCGGTTAGCAAATACCCACGAGATACACGCATGCGCACTAACGCCGAGTACCGCGTAGACGCGCGCTCACGGTCCCTATTCCCCTCCCCCTAAGCCTCCCGCCTGGGACCCCAGGTCTTGTCTGCCTGCCTTTTGTTACCATCGGATGGTCACTCATTGGTCCGTCCGGGTTCGAGGGTGTCCGGTGTCCCGGCGTCCGCAAGATCGCGTGCGCACCCCGCATTCTCTCCACGATCAGGATGAATTGAGCCGAACCTTGCGTATTCTCTTAGCTCCTGGGCTATTTCCCAGATTCACATCACCTCGAAGAAGCAACCCCAAAGCAGCAGAACACCGGTACAAGGATTCGTGACAGACGAAGTGATCGCGGATCAGACCTTCTCCCGGTTGATGGCGCTGAATGTGGCTGCCATGCTCACCACGTTGGACACGCTTGTCAAGAGGTGGCGGTGTGATCGGAATGCTCGGAAGCTATCATTCTATTGCTTGATCTCTCTCCTTGACTTCTGTGTCTATGGATCTATTCATTCGGTGCAGGTATAAAAATGCTAACGCCTTGCCAGTTTTTTTGCACTATATCTTCTGTACCGTCTCCAGGCCACCCTGGGCTCCCGTGCTCGATTCAACATTACCACGGCGTCCTCGAAGATCGCACATTAAACGAGACTCGACGGCCAGGCCCAGAGCCCGAAGCACTCGGCGATACGAATCGCCAAAATCCTACACTAGCATATGCAGAGAGGGCCATCGTGGACCAGCTCATGAGAAGACACGACCTTTCTTTCTGTTTTTCTTTCAGTCGCTCGTCTCCGTAACTTAGTTCACCGCACCCTTGATAGGCGCGGTACCGAGACCATTGTGGTTGCGGAAGAACAAGACACCCTTGCCCTCGCCCTGGGCCTCAGCACTGGGCTCAACCCACTGGCACATACGCGCAGACTTGTACAAGGCCTTGATGAAGCCAACCGGGCCATCCTTGACGTCAGCACGGTAGTGCTTGCCCATAACGGGCTTGATGGCGTCGGAGGCCTCGTCGGCGTTGTAGAAGGGAATGGTGCTGATGTAGTGATGAAGGACGTGGGTCTCGATAATGCCATGGAGGAGGTGGCGTCCGATGAAGCCCATCTCGCGGTCGATGGTGGCAGCGGCGCCACGGACGAAGTTCCACTCACCAGCGGTGTAGTGAGGAAGAGTAGGGTCGGTGTGCTGAAGGAAGGTGATGGCGACTGGGAAGAAAAGTTAGCTGACAGTCATAGGATCGAAACGAGCCTTTTGACACTTACCAAGCCAGTGGTTAACCCAGAGGTAGGGAATGAAGTACCAGACCAGAAGGTTGGACCAGCCGAACTTGTTGCCGAGGAGAGCGAGGACGGTCATAGTGATGCCAACACCAATGTCAGAAGCGATGATGAGCTTGGCGTCCTTGGCCTCGAAGATGGGACTGCTGGGGTCGAAGTGGTTGACACCACCGCCGGCACCGTTGTGCTTGCCCTTGCCGCGGCCCTCGCGCTGGCGCTCGTGGAAGTTGTGGCCGGTGACGTTGGTCATAAGGTAGTTGGGCCAGCCAACGAGCTGCTGGGCAATAAGCATGAGGAGGGTGTAGATGGGGGTCTCCTCAGCCAGCTCGCCGACTTCGTGGGCCAAGCGGCCAGCACGGGTGGCCTGCTGCTCGCGAGTGCGGGGCACGAAAACCATGTCACGCTCCATGTGGCCAGTGGCCTTGTGGTGCTTGCTGTGGGAGATCTGCCAGCTGAAGTAGGGAACGAGCAGAGCCGAGTGAAGAACCCAGCCGGTGGCGTGGTTGATGGTCTTGGAGGGAGAAAAGGCCTGGTGACCGCACTCGTGGGCAATGACCCAAAGACCGGTTCCGAAGAGACCCTGGAGAATGGTGTAGACGGCCCAGAGAACGACGCGAGCAGCCTTGGAAGGCACGTACTCAGGGGTAGCGAAGTTGTGGAAGATCAAGAAGGTGGTGGTGAGGCAGAGGATATCGCGGGCGATGTAGGCGTATCCCTTGAGAGCAGAACGCTCGAAGCAGTGCTTGGGGATAGCGTTGTGGATGTCCTTGATGGTGAAATCGGGAGGGGTGAACTCGTTGCCGTAGGTGTCGTACAGCTTGGTGTAGTTGGCCTTCTTTTCGAGGACGGCATCGTCAGAAGCCATAGACGACAAGGACGTCGACGAAGCAGAAGGACGGGGCGAATCCACGGGCGAAGCCATCGCAGTAGAAGGAACCGAAGCATCGGTCTCGGCGGTGTTGCTGGTGACAGTGCGGCGGAGAACGGGGTTCTGGCCGGCCGGCGCAGACGAAGTGGTAGAAGCCATAGCGGCTGGTATTATTGTGCTGCTGCTGCTAGGGAAGAGAAGAGGGACTATGAGAGCAGCTTGGTGATGTTGCCTCGGTATTGGATGAATACACTCAGAGGAACGGTTGACAAGTTCCAATGGCCCTTGGGAGAAGAGAGAGGGATACCAATTGGGTCGCGAGGAGGGAACAGGAATCAAGAATCACGAGCGGGAAAAAGGAGGAGGGGAGGGGAGTAATAAATGAAGGCACTCTGGGAAAAACCTCAGGTCGGTATCGGGTCGTGGCGGAGGCGAAAAGACAAAATAGTTAGCAAACGATGGGTCGGGACGGAGCCCGTTGTCAACTGTGTCTCTCCAGGGCCTTGGCTCGCTAGTACCGAGTAGTAACAAGTGGCCGGTCAGGTACCGTAACGGATGGAGCGAAAGGAGATCCCTGTGACTTTTTTTTTCGGAGGAGTGAGTGGTGTGCAGGTAAACTGGACCATCTGTAATAAACTGAGGTGAGGTCTGCTTGGTATCCGTACGGAGTAGTGGTGGTGTTCTGTGCTCTACCTTACCGTGTAAGGTATGCTGTGTGCTGTCTGTCTGGCCTCGGTTCCGTTTTTGTTGGGGACAAACTGGAGAGGGAAAGAGAGGTAGCTCCGTTGCTTGTGGCCTGCGGGGATTTGCAGGGCACGGTGCAAGGGGAGAAAGAGCAGGACCAGGGACGGGAGGGACGAAATGCGTGGCAGGGAACGAGGGATGGGGGGCCACCGGGGCACCGGGGGGTGTGAAAGCAATGAAATGTGTTCGTGTCAAGTCGTGCCGTGTGGTGGTCGGTTGATTTCCTTCCTTTCCAATCCCAATTGCTGTTGGATTTTTCTGCTGGGCCTTGATGTTGATTGAGTTACCCACCAAAGGAGGACGATGTGGAGGAAGGAGGAGGCAAGAAACCTAAGTCAAGTAACCCGTACATCCACTGTTTGGGCGAGGTACAAGATTGTTGCACCAATTATCATGTGCTGGGAGGTATCTTTCCTCTCCACCTCCTTCCGTCTATGGGCTAAGGTACTCCGTAACGTCACTACCTTCCATCTATGCGAGTACCTTACTTTACCTCAGGTAGCCTTTCCGAATCCCATGAGAGGCCGGACGGAAGGAAATACCGAAGCGGGAAGCTGTGCCTGGTCAAGTATTTGGATCTATTCCTTCCCATACGGAGTATCATTAGGTAAGGAAGGCATTGCAATTCATATCACTGGAAGGCAGGAGGGGCGCATCTAGACGGCGTTCAAACATTTAGACACCGGGCTTTGGTTATGCCAAATGCCATTGAATACCTTACCTTATTCAAGTACTCATTATATCGATGGATCACAGCATACTTTGTGAGATACTTCCTCTTCCTCGGCTATTCTTGATAACGGGAGTTGCTCGCCTTCCCACAGCAGCAACAACTCGACACTCACAAGCCAAAACCCGGCGTACCGTTTTTTTTGTGGATGAATAGCTTGGCGATGCCGAATATGAACAAAATTCTTGCAGCTTTCCCAAACCTTTTTGGAGAAGACACACCTTTTTTTTTTTCTTTCCGCGCCAGAGGGGAAGGCAAAAGATCGGCTGAAAAAGAATTTTTGGGACGAAGTCGGCGGTCTGAAGGGTCTTGGTTCGGTACGTACCCGGCTCTACATAAGGTAGTATAAGGTAAGGCGAAAAGGAAGGAAGGAATGGGAGTTGGGAATGCATCAGTCGTGCTTTGATGTACATCTACATCCATCAAGATTCTTCCCGCCCAGATTCTGACTTTCCTTTGCCTAGACACATTGTAGCCGCTACCTTCTAACCCAACCTATGCAGTCCACCTGCATCAGAGGCAGCTTGCAGTGAGGTACGGTAAGGTACTTGGAGACCTGAAGCAATGGAAAAGTGCCTTTGACTGACCGTTCCTCACCCACGCTGCAATGCTGCATTTACCGCACAGACTCGAGGGAAGGCATTCTGAGTCTTCCATTGACCGTGCTGAATTTCGCCCTCTTTCTCTTCCCCTTCCTCTTGGAGCCGCTATTGACACGCGACGGTATTTGCATCAGTCTAGATCCTCTCGCCGTCCCCGCCATTGCCACTGTTTGCATCTGGGTCATGTTCCAGCTCCCGGCAGCAAATCTACCCCTATTGGGAGGCGAATTCATGCCTGGCAGGGCAACACATGGACCGCTCCATTGCAACGCGAGACAGGCACCATATCCGCTGTCTCTTTGGTCACTGGTGTCTGGACTTTGGAGCTCTCTTCTGAAGCTCTTACCAGGTACCCGTACCTTTCGGCACCGACATGCCTCGACGGGGTTAGGAGTACCGATACTTTGAACCGTATCTCTTCGCCCCATGCCTCCCCCTCAGCCCTCCGTTTCTCAAGCACTCTGGCACTTTGCGGCTTGCCTCCTCGTGCTTCACTACCGCCTGGCTCATGCTGATGCACCCTTACCTGTGGTCCACCCTGGCCATGCTCCAACTTCACCGCCCTTCGAGCTAGCCGGCTGAACTCTGGAGCTTGAGAGGCAGATCAGAGCCAGACTGTGGCAAAGTCAATTTGGTTCATCACCAGCAGCAGCAGCAGCAGCAGCAGCAGAATGCCAGATCCCTCAAACGATCCCGGATGGCCTCGATAGTTTGACGCCGGACTCAACCACAATACCTACTGTATCTACCGTTTCCATCGGAGGCCTGCAGATCCTAGGACAGCCTCTTTTGGAGACCCGAGTTGGACATATCTTGCGCAAGACAGCCTATGCTGTCACTGCTGTGGTACCCAGGCCTTCAACCTACGGGCTGGCAGTATCCAAGACACAACCATGTAAGTTGAAGCTGATTTGCCGCCCAAGATGCATCAGGCGTCCTGCCGCTCCCGTTATGCCTCCTCCCGGGTCATACTTGCGCTCTCTGACGTCTTGTCTCGTAGCAAACATGCAACACGCAGACTGTCGATTGGCCTTGTTCTTGAAGGTGGTGCAGTCACCGCGCGCCCACCAGTCACTCACGCAAATGTCGCCTACGTTTGGCACAAACCGGCGTTCGTCCGTGCATGTGAAGATGGCGCTTGTTCGGGGCAAGATTCAGATCGGAAAATCCTCCAGTCGTAGACGGCGGTGGTGTGGCAGCTTAGCCGATATCGAGTCAGATCAACAACCGCCCCCAACCCTGCACCATTCGACCAGCGACCGCAATTCTGGTCCGTTTTGATCTCACCACATGCCCGAAAATCGCACCGCAGCAGTCACTCTGTACATTGGTTGCCGTGCGTTGAGAAGTCCTTTCCGCCGACTTCCTCCAACTAATTCGCGATCAGGAGATTTTACTTCATTGTGGGATGTCTCTGGGGCGAGACTTGATATAAGTACACGGCGGAGACTCCTCTTGCGTCGCAGTAGGCCAGGGCCAACATGCTGGATTTCGAAATGTTGACAGGATCCAGGCATAGTTGGGGATACGATCGATAAAAGGTGCCCGCCGTCGTTCAGCCTTCAGGGACGGCAGTACGTACCCGGGTTCCCCACGCTTCTTGGTGGGATGACAGGGATGAGCAAAGTATACGTACCTCTGCACGCAAGGAAGTGGTCCTCCATGTTTTCTGTTCCCATTCTTTCAACCCCACGAACGAAGCAGCGGAAAGCAGAGCGGACTGGGAAGACGCGACAGACTGGAGCCTCACGATTGGCCAGGCCTGCTCCAGCCAATCGGGAGTAGAGAAAGTTGCTGACGCGGCTAGCCAATCAAGGGCCCGCAGCTGGGGAAGGGATTTGAATCTTGAATTGACGCCCTCGCTTTCGTCGACGACGTCCAAGGAAAGAAAGTGGCCAAAGATGAGCCTCTCACCAGCTGGCAACATTTATGAATCGCTTCGCATGGCATTCAATTTCCACACCGGAATTTTGCAATGCACAAGGGAAGACCGATGATAGAGAATACGGCAATTGGACTGGACTTTACTCGACTTGCCTCGGGCAAACCCGCGAGACAGAGGATGAAACGACCCAGGATCGAGTCGCTCGACGACCTCCACAGCTCACAGCTTGAACAGGACGTAAAGACCCTGAAACAAGGGTGGGAACGCCGTTTTCTGGAAGCATCATGGCATTCCAGGGTCCGGTTTTTGCCTGCTTCGCTTCTGTAGGTAGCGCTGTGAAGATCAGTCACTCCCTTTCCCCCCCCTCTATTACTCTTTGATTTTCATTTTTCATTTGCTGCCCTTGAAATTTTCTGTTGGGGTTCAAATTTGTTGAGATGGTTGCAGTCCAGGGCAGGGCCTTGTCGCGATGGCAGAGCTTCATTGGTACGTACTGACAGAACCCCACTCAGATGGATGTATCCCCGGTCTTTGCTCTCACAAGTCGTGAGTTCCTGCTCTCTTCCTAGGGATACGTACCTCGGGAACTTTAGCACACGCCAGTCTTGATTCCTTCTTGAGCCTTGAATCTTCACATCCGATGGATACCTTGCGGTGAAAGCACACAGCAATGCCGGTCATTATGATATTCAGTGGACTGGGAAACAAAGCTCCATCGCCTTTTCAGAATCCCGATTATCGTGGAGACCTTCTATCGAGGTTTCAGTTCCACCTAACGCTGAGACCATCGAGATCCCCAAGGACCAATCCCAACATACTCAATTACACGGGGGACAAGGATTGGGACAGGCTGGCAAGTAGCTTGTTGGTAAGGTCTCTCTGCTGCTTACAGCCAATTTTCAATTATCACATGGTAATTGTTCGATATTGATCCTGCTCCGTCTCCCGCCCAGCCTGGAATGATATCCGTTCTGGCAGTAGACGAAGAGCACGCCAGGGGCAAAAGTATGCCTCCTCAATCCATCACTCAGAGGCCACGGCTCACAGACAACGGCTATTCGCACGACGCTTCTGCAATCTGCACTGCTCATCCACTGCTCATCGTGGCACTCGTGCAAGTCGGGCCCACCGTCGCCTACTGTCGTGGACTTGTGGTGTGGTGCCGTCCGCTTCTCATTCCTAACGAACCCGAGGCCGGGCCCTTTTTCACGAACCACAGGGCCGACCTCCTTCACATGTGATTTGCTCCCCTCCATAGGATAGCGAGAAGAGGCGGCAGTGACCACTGACAGGCGCCACAACCTACTCCAAAGGTCACGACATTTCTTTTCACCCCTTGCTAGCACTTCTATCCGTTCCGTTAGCTTTGCAGAGGAATCAGGGAACGATGGTATTGGCACTCTGCTGATACCTCCCCATCTCGGCAAAGTGTCCTGCGAGTTGACGGACCAAGCACGACTCGGGGGCGAGAGATCGTTTGCCTAGCAGTGCCACTGGCTGGAGGCGGAACATTCCCTTCATCCCGTCTGGCCGCGGAGGGCTAACGCTCAAGCAGGTTTACTCACCCTAGCTTTTTTTGGAGGAAATTCAGGGTTGTGTACCTACTCCGTATCTGCTTCGCATCGTCTCTTCGAGGAAGAAGAGGAGAAGATTCGTAGTAGCGCCAATCAATAGTAGCTTGTGAAAGATTTGGCTTGTTGCGGTTATAGATGACCATGTCTCGTAGGGCTTTCAGCTGACGACACTTTTGTCTCGGTTACCCCAGTACTAGTCCGGATGACTGACAGCTCTAGCTCCAGCATGTCACTCGAGGAGAGTTTACGAGTTGCGAGTCTTCGATGAGACATCCGCGAGAGCCACAGCCTCGAGCATACCTACCTTACTCATACTTCTCTCAGTCTTGCCTACCACTAATTACTCACATGCTGTCTTCACTTGATCACTTGAAGTAGGTAATCGAACTTGTTGAAACCGGTTCAAAATCGCAGCGAATCTTGTCACAGATTACCACTACGGAGGATCCCCCCAAGTCTCAGTCAGGTCCATATTTGGCCTCCTATTCACCGCCTCAGTCCCGAGACGTGGAACAACGCTTCCCTGACCGCCAATCACACGATACACGAATACCATTTCTCACCCAGACAGCCTGCTGCATAACAAATAAGCCCCTCTTCGACACCTATTATCATTCATATCCTTATCAAGAATACCTGTCGTCCAGGGCCTCGTGACAGCCTGCAGAACAATACCTAGCGCAGGCTCAATGTCACGGTATCCGACTAACCTGCGTTGCTGTTGGGCTGCCTTACCTCTCGAAAGAAACGCAGATCATATTAAAGACATGTGAAAATACACTTCCCTCCCCAAGGAAATGCCCGAATATCATGTCTCTGATGTCACTCGTGTCACCCTGACATGCCGCCGTTCTCAACAGCTTCATCGTCAGGTACTGCAATACGCTTGATATCTCCCGGCTTGCTCCGCAAGTAGATTCGCATGACTTTCTGTAGACGAGACCTCAGCACAGGTCCGAAGTGCGATCTGTAGCTTACCACCTTACCTGACACCCTCTGCAAGGCGTCACCGGTATACCTACCTATCAGAAGCACTCAGAGTCGCGCCTCCTGCCAGACAGCGCCAGCCCCATCCGTCGCGGCTGAGACACCCAACAATCCAACCCCGCGTCTCAGAGACGCCATCCCCGAGTCACAGAGGAGAGTTTGACAGGAAGTCACTGAAGTGTAGGTATCTTGGATCTCTTGGGGTGTTGAAGTATTCCACTTCTTGCGCTGGGTCAGGCAGAGTTGCTGTTTATATGTAGCTCCCAGTGCTTCCGTATGACTGCCGGCGCTGGGAGATGGATGGGCAGCTCGGGAGGCGCTGCTCTGCAATAGCCAGGGGGAAAGCCGTTGAGTACAACCCCGATTGAAGCAGAGCTGGTGTGGTAGATGGTACGTATCGCACGTAGGTCGTGATATTTGGTAGGCAAAAGTTGACCGTAAGATGGATTGTATAGGTACTCTCAACCTCTGAATGAAGTGAAATTCATATTCGCAGCCGCGAGTGATGAATGTGCTCTATAATGAATCATTCCATTGGTCCTATCACGACTTGGTTCATGTGTGGAAATAGCGGGCATCACGATTGTTTGAACCGCCTTCGTTCACTTCCTCATATCCCTTCATTTACCTGACGACTCCCCTATGAGGTTTCGTAAACTAGCAGCAGCTTAAATTTGGCCGTCAGAATGATCAGGTTTGACTTGAAGAAGCCATGCCTCTCCATTCATCGTTTAGTAGCTTGGATATCTACAGCTATTCCACGGCTGGTCTGGTGGTGAGCATCCAAGTTCGATGGGATCGTCATGTCAGCCAGGAACGAGACGATGTCGGATTTGCCATGGAAGCTGAGGTTGCGCGTCGACCCTCGTCAATGCTTTCGACCACCCGCTGACTCTGCTGTTGGCGATAGTACTGCATACGATCAGGAATGGTTGCCTTCGATTCCTTCAAGTGCTTGTCAAGTTCCTCATCTTCGTCTGAGGTGCTGGCATCGCCTGAATCCGTGTAATCCTTTGCTTTCCAGTATCGTTTCCCATGAATATACTCTTCATCGTACAAATCACTCTCGTTGCCCATGAGATTGAAATGTTGCAGAGCCGCTTGGAGTTCCCGTTCTTTCTTCTCCGAAGGGCCGGCGTTGGCATCATCCTGGCGTAGTTCGACTCTGCCAGGGCCCGTCTGGTAGGAGAGACCCGATGCTTCTAGGCCTCTCCGTTGCTCTTCCGGCACCCAGGAAACATGGGAAATAATCCATGCGTTAAAGTGAGAAGTGTTTGGTTGGAGGAGGTAGTCGTAGGAGCGCTCCAAATCTTCCCGTACAGGTCGATAATGGTCTAACCAGTGACGTGAAACGTATCTCAGGAATGCCCGATGAGGATTGTTGCGACACTCTTTGAGATAAACGCTCGCTTCGTGATGATCCAAGATAGTCTCATTGAATGGCTCCGCTAACTGGATCAAATTGATGTAGTCAGCGCAAAGTTGAAGCATGTACATATTTGCATCCGCCAGACTGATTGAATGTTGCCATTGCGAGACAAACTCCAAGCTTCCCGACCTCTGCCTGTCTTGGTCTGTGGCTAGAGAATGCCTTTTCCATCGGAAAACCATCTTGAAATCGAGCTCGCTGTCTCTATCCAGAAGGAATTGGCGGGCTGTCTGGTGGACTAGATATATTTTCTGATTGCGAATTCTGACAAAATGGCCGCAAATTTGCCGTAGATGATTTACGAACGGCCTGTGCACAAGACTTTGCAGCTCTTGCAAATTAGAAACCGTTCGCATCTGCGTTGCTGGCTGTCGGTTGATGATAGTGTGATTCGCCTCAGGCCAGA